TGTTTTCAACAACAATAATAAAAACGAAATTGTGGCCAAACAAAACTAATCTAGAATCTTAACATTCAATACAAATTCTGATGATAGGTCTGGGACTTAAATTTAGATTAGCATTTTCTTTTTTATATAATTTATTTATTATGTATACAGTATCCTGCTGTGTGTACATCTACAGGTCAAAAGAGGGCACCAGATCTCATTAAAAATGGTTGTGAGGGGCTGGAGAGATGGCTCAGAGCTACAGAGAAACCCTGTCTCAAAAAAAAAAAAAAAAAAAAAAAAAACTGTATCTCTAACCCATGCTTAGAGCATTTTCTTTTTTATATAATTTAACTTTAGTTATTGCATTGATGCCAAGGGTGTCAGATCCCCTAGAACTAGAGTTACAGACAGCTGTGAGCTGTTGTGTGGGTGCTGAAATTTGAACCTGGGTCCTCTGGAAGAACAGCCACTGCTATTAACCACTGAGCCATTTCTCTAGCCCTTAGAGCATTTTAATGAGCTTATTTATATTTGTGAATTTCAAAAATCAAACTGATATAGGAGGTTGGAAGTATAGCAAAAAGTCGGGAATGTGGTCTAATTAACATACACAGAATATGGAGGTCACTGCATCGGAGGGGGTAGGTTCTAGAAAGTGAAAGCAAGTTTTGCTCTATCTTTCAATTATTATAATGAAATGATGTTTAATAATACTCTGAAAATATATACAGCACAGTTACATCAGGTATTTATTTACATTACTTTAACATTTGTGCCATTATTTTTAGAACCAGGTAAGTTTGTTTCACTAATCTAAACTAAAATGAAAATGCATTATTTCAAAAGACGTAATTTAGTAGTTGGTTAATAAATCAGATTACAGAAAAGGGTAAGAAAAGCAAGCAATTCACACTCTATTAGTAAAGTTCAACCTGTGATGGGCACGAGCCAACTCCCCAGTTCGAAGTTTACTATTGCAAAACATTTTCTCCCCATTCATAATGCAAGGCTTTCAAAGTCATATATTTGAAAGTCTCTTAAACCTACAAGCTTGGTAAAAACTTCATTAAGAAAAATGAAGAATGGGGGGCTGGAGAGATGGCTCAGTGGTTAAGAGCATTGCCTGCTCTTCCAAAGGTCCTGAGTTCAATTCCAGGCAACCACATGGTGGCTCACAACCATCTGGAATGAGGTCTGGTGCCCTCTTCTGGCCTGCAGACACACACACACACACACACACACACACACACACACACACACATAGTCAGAATATTGTATACATAGTAAATAAATAAGTATTTTAAAAAAAAGAAAGAAAAAGAAAAATGAAGACTGACCCACCATTTCTTTTGAATCTTTCTAAAAAACAACAAACTAATACAATGGCTATGGGCTGGGACCCTTTCACAGGGGTGGCATATCTGATAGCCTGCAGATCAGATTATTTACATTATGACTAAAGTCTTGATCCTCTGACCTGACCTCCTAAATATTCACCTTGGGATTAGTCATGTGCCATCATAACCTACACTAATATTTGTTTCTGTTTTCTTATAGCCATCATTAAAATTTCTTTGATTTTAACTGAGGTCAGTGCCTCAGAATGGTCCAATATTAAAATTGAACTCATTAGATAACACTTTCTATAAGCTACTTCCAGAGGTATGTACTCATTAACAAACTGTTAAGCATTATCCTGAGAATGAGAAATGTACAAGAATGATGGATGTTTTTGCTGAAGTTAAAGGGCATATAGTGCTCCTGAAGAGGACCCAAGTTCAATTCCAAGAACCAACTGCCTATAACTCCAGATCCTGGGGGTGTCTAATACCTAGGACCTCTACAGACTGACACACACAGGTAGTACACAAAGACATAGGAAGAAACAAAAAAGGTGCTTGCTAGGCATGCCTTGAATCTCAGCACTCAGGAAGAGGAGGCAGATGAATCTCTGAGTTCAAGGCCAGCCTGGTCTACAGAAACCTATGGATCTCTGCCTCCCACTGTGTATTGAGGTATGGACGTTTTTCAGCAAGCCCAGCTTTCAGACTAATGCTGGCCTCGAGCACGTTACCCACTGAGAGACCCTGACTCAAAAATGTGGAAAGCAGGACTAAAGAGATGGCTCGGCGGTTATCATTGGCTGTTCTTCCAGAGGACCCAGGTTTAATTCCCAGCATCCACACGGCAGCTCACAACTGTCTGGAACCCTAGC